CCTGCCAGAGCTCCCCCTTCAGCCAGGTTCTCACTTTTGATAGAAAATCATCTCTTTTTTTTTTTTTTTTTTTTAAAGTCTTTGTATTGCTGTTATGTTTGCAAGCACTGCTTACTGCTTTGACTATGTTGGAAGAATGAGTTAAAAAAAAAAAAGTAGTTGTAATCTTCTTGCATCAATTACTGAATAATAGATGTCTGGTGCTGGAGAAGATGGCACTACAGCAACTGAGTATTAGCTATGTCCAGATATTAGGATTTATGCTGAAATCTTACTAAGCTTTTTAATAAACAGGGTTGTTTTCTGAGAAGTTGCAATCTGTTGCAAGCCTTTTATCGGGAGGAACAACCTGCAATGAATAATAAGAGGTCTTGAATCAGAATTTGTAGATTCCATAAGATTGCATTAAGAGTCCATAAAATTGTGTCAAGATTCCATAATGATGTGGAACAAAGCCAGGCATAACAATCTTCTTCTGAAGTGAGATAAATGATTGATGTTTACAAGATTCCCCCCAATGCTTTGTGCAGAAATAAGCGTGGCTTTGGTTTTCAACAGGAAGCGCATTCACAGCCGGGAGACACTTGGACAAGTATTGCAAGAAGTAAGTGATATGTTTTTAGTTTCGGTTGTTCTAAAGGTGTCACAGAGGCATCATCGAGGCTTATGTATTAACTAATATTGAGTCATGTACTAGTGGACTGGACTTTGAATGTTCTCATTTACTTGCTGCGCACTGATAATAAGTAAAGCAGTTAATCTTTGGGTTTTTTGTTTTTCAGCCAGAAAAGTAGCATTTGTTAGCAACTAACAAAATTTGTCTTTTCACACCACTCAGATATACAGAAACTTCTATATGACTATTTTATATAGTCGTTATTTACTCCCTCAAGTCATTCCCCAGTACCCACCTCTGCTGTAATGTCTGTGAGAAATTGGATTATTAGTGATGAGTAGGTGGTTGTACTTAACTCTTACATTTGCTTTCAAGAGTGTAAACACTCTTCATGTATTCGGATATATTTTGATGTATTCATTCTTGGTGTCACCATAGATCTGCTAGCTTTAATTATATATTATATCCTTCCTCCATCTGATTGGCTTTGATGTTAATTTGCGATCCTACGTATTGCGATTTAGAAATTCTAATGATACTATAATGTTGTAAAGTCATAAGAAAACACAGCAAAAAGAGAAGAGAAGCAAACAGGCAATCCAAAGATTAGCTTTCACCACACTAGACTTTAGGTTTTTATTTGTTTCCTTATAGCCAGCCCATATAGCATCCTACCATTATAATCCTTCTTGGTGTGCGAGCCGTTCTGATCAAGTTAATGCCACCTATTTAATATTTTGGTATTGTGTTTTGCTTGATTAGATATGTATGTAATATTGAAGGGTTGGATGTGAATGCTGATTACCTAATACATACAGTATTTTTTACTGGGTGGAGAGGAGAACTTTGAATGTATTACTTTAACAATTTTTTAAAGAACTCTGATTTGGTTGGTGGATCAAAGTGTGCTCTTGATAATAACACTGGTTATTATGTGAGAACAAGACCATCTAGATACTTGGCTCTTTCTCTTTGAGGATTTGTTTAATAAAAACAAAACAAAAATCTTAGGAAAAGCTCTTCACCCAAGATTGGAACTGGTTTACTAATTTTCCTAATCTAGGTCATGTTGACCAATGATTACATTTTGTTCTTGAAACCCCACAAACAGTATGAATTTTGTGTGCTTCACAAAAATGGACAAAGACCTGTATGTACTTGCCTCACAGTGCTTGTTATTTTGATATTTAGGAGCTGAAATATGTAATGAAGTCCTTTATTGCTGTTGTTTTGGAAACAAAACATTGCAAGGCCGTTATTACAGAAGGAATATATTCAAAGATATGTTTCTTATATTATTCCATGAAAACAGTTGGACTTGGGCAAAGAGTGCTCCCTGACATCAAGGGAATGAACAGTTTAGATTCTTCAGGACTTGAAAACTTGAAGAATTTGGAAATGGCAGTTACAGTTTTCTTATCAGTGACAGAAATTAATGTCTGAAACTAATCTTCAGCAGCATAGTCTTTTCTAAAGACTGGACTTTAAATCATTCAGTGCTTTCAGGGGTTTAACCTCTGAAGGGTCTAGGCAGTCTGCCTTACTGAGAAGTTGGGCTATTGATTTCTAAGGGGCGCGTCACAGCAGAGCTGGATGTCAGTGTATTTTTCTAAAAGTTTGTCTATGTGTTTTCTAACTACTGAAGTGATGGGATTTATGAGGTTTAGGGTTTTTTTAAGATGTTTCTCAGGAAAAGCTTGCATTTTGGCCTTAATTTCTAAATCTTTCTTTTCTCTGATTTACTTTAATTCCTTATGAATTTCTTCTCTTTCTTGAGAAAAAAGTTAACTCGTGAAATAGCTTTTTTTCCTGCATTGTTCATTTTCTTATAGAATTCATTTACAACTGTGATGAAAAGGTAATCTGGAACTCTCACACTGTCATTTGGAGAAACATTGGAAAGCCGAGGAATGCCTCACCTCTTGCTGTTTTCAGTTTTAAATGGAATAACAAGAAGATACTCTTAGCCCAGCTGTTTTTCACTGGTACCATCTGTCAGACCTACAACAACTTCTTTGTAAAAATACCTCCTTAATCATGTGCACTCTGAATATTTGTTCTGCCCATGTTTTTTGGAACCAGCATTGTACAGCAAATCTTCATAATGTACCTCAGTTCTTCAAAAATACAGGTGAAGAATATGTGCATGTTTTAACCCAAGCTACAATTTTAGAAGAAAACCAGAAAACATATGTGCATAATTAAATAATATGGGGGGGGCGGGGAGGGGAATCAAGCTTACAGAATAACTTCAGGAGATCAAAGGGGCAAACATAGAGGAAAGAAACTGGAGTCTTTTTTCAGGTAGGACATACCTCAAGGATCATGAAAATACACTGGAGCAGAGAAAGTCCAATCTTATATCCTACACTGCCAGTCATGCTGCTGAGCACTTTATCGTGAGCCCTTTGTTGAACCATGCAAATGGTGGATTGAAAAGAAAGATTTTTTTTTTTTTTAGTGAGTTTTTCTTTAATGAACACTACAAAGGAAAAAGATAAGACTTGAAAACTTTTGTTTATGAACTATCACGTCAGACTGCTTTTATAAATCTCTAAGAATGTCTTTTATGCAAGATCCGCCCTCACTGTAAGAAATAAGAAGTTTAAAAGAGATTTTTCTTAACTTGTGTTTGAAAGTATTTCTTATTCAAGGAGGGTTTTTTAGATACTATATTTTCCTCAATAAAAATGGAGTAACGTTGACAGTGTTATGATGTCTTTTATTAAAAAAATGAAAACTGTCAATGTCAAGTCTGCATTTGTTCTGCAATAGCAAACTTTACAGTGTGTTAGAGCCCTGTGTTCACCAATGGAAGGGAATACTTGGAAATATTTGAGAGGAGAATCAAGTCTTCCATTAGTTTTATGTCTGAGAAATATGTAATATTCTACTTCTGCTTTTAACTACATCTTAGCATAATTTATGCTTGCTCCTGTTGAACTTTGAAAATTCAAAGTATCTAGTATGCTTGCAGCTGAATTTTAAGTGGTCAAAACTTCCCACCTCTCTTGTGGAATGATGAGACAACAAAAGAAAACACTGTGAGTAATAAATCTTTACTGTCCTGCTTTAACAAATGTTAGCATCTTTGTTTATTTCCTTCATTTCTTGAAAGGCTGTTCCTTTCCCTTCAAATAGGAAATTATTGGATGATGTAATAGTGTTCCTAAACAGAAGAAGGAAAGGTTCATGAAAGCACCTGGATCCGAGAGTTGTGATAAAACAGGAAACAGATACTGAGGAAGTAAAGAAAAAAGGTGTAAGGATTTCTAAATGGACTATGATTATAAGAGGCCCCATTCTGCAATCATTTATGCATGTGTGAAGTGTATACTACAATATATAATGCTTTATGGAGTGTGAAAGGAAAAGCAGTCATCACTAAGTGTGTTACCTTCTGCAAAAGGATGTAAGAAAAGACCTTCTGTGAATACAGAGTAACAGCATACTGAAGAAAATTATTTTTTATTCAGGCATCCTTGCTGCATCAGAACAGTTGTGCCATTTTAAGAGTGTGATACCTGGCTGAGCACACATGCAGGAAACTCTGCTTGATACAGATCACTTCTCTAAAATCCTACATCTAATCCATTGCTACTGTGAGTGTGAAAATACATTTTTTTGATAACATATTAATGTGTACTTGTATATGTCTAAGATGCAATTATATGAGCTTTGCCTAGTACACTTACTTTAATTTCAAAAAGTTCAACTATATGAAGTCAGACCTCCTAAATAAAAACACTCTATATTAATTTGCTATACTGAGCTACCTACATTTAAATACAATTGAGATAGTGATATGCGCTTTTAAAATATCTGCAATTATTGACTGGTTGAAGTCCCTCTGTATTATAGTATGTTGCAGACTAACGTGGAATAGCACAGAGTTTATATGGATGTGGCTGCAGTATTGCACCCAAAATGTACCCCAAATTGATTTCCTTTACTCCCTCGGGGAGCTGGAATGTGAATGCCCGAAGCAGGTTAGTAAAGAAGATGAACAGTTCAACTCGTGCCATCTGTTCCCCCAAACATACACGGTGCCCTGCAGAAGAAAGGGAAAAGGAGTTAGTTGTATAAAGCTAAGTTCTGAAGAAGAACCTCAAACAAAATTCTACTGAGTTCCATAAATTCTGTTAATGTAAGATAATTATTTCCTATTTCCTTCTGTAAGGACAGAAGATGCCTTTGGAGGTGGGGGGCAACATTTATTTAACTGAGAAACTGTATACCTCTAATTATGTTGACTATTGGGTTTTTTGTTTGTTTGGGTTTTTTTTTTGTTTCCTTTTTTTTGGTGTTGTGTGTGTTTTGTTCTTTTTTTTTCCCCCTGGAGCAAGTATGAGATTCCTCCTTTTCATTTTTGCTTCTTGTTCTGTGTGTCACGTTCTGTGAGAACCATGAATTGCTTCTCGGTTAAGAGAAGGCCAGATTTTAAAAGGCTTCATATACTTCAGAGTCTTGTCTTTGGTTGTTGAGGAGGGAGGACTGGAGCATTGTGGGGTTCAATTCTGAAGCTAAGTAGAAGGATGGAATCAGGCTTTCTTCAACAGAAATTAAGAAGGCTATATTGGGTCCTTGTAGCCCAGTATCCTCTCTCTAACACTGTCCAGGAGCAGATATGTAAGCTAAGGGAATGAAACGTAGGCATGTGCAGTGATGTATGGACTCAGTGACTCATTTTGACATATTGTTTTCACAGTGTATTTCAGGATATCTATATATTCCAGACTAAAAATACCACATATATTTAGGATATATAAATACTCAGACTATATAAACAGAAAACAACCAAAGCAGGTTAGAAAAGAAAATTTCCTATGCCTGGGTTGAAATGGTAGCCTGAATTAGTTGTCGATTCATGTAAACTAGCGGACATTTGGTGAGTAAAGGAGGTAAGATGTCAAGTACCTGGTTTGCAAATTAGGATTTGCAGGCAATTTCGGCAAATGGTTTTAAAATCTGGATTTACTGCGTTTAATCTGACTGCTTTGTACATTACTTAGTATACTATTTATTTTTTATCTGCAACAAATATATAATAGTATAATCTGTCATAGTAACATTAAAAACCTCAGCTGTTTTCCAGTGTTTTTATTGTTTAATTTTTATATTTTAATTTTCAGTAAATAACACCAGCTTCCTGTTCTGTGCTGCTTTTCTTCATAATCTGATTATTGGAGAAACTGGTAGTCTAGAGAAGCTCTCCAAGTTATGTTTTGTACTGCTTTTCACACTTTTTTTTTTTTCCTCCCATGTCATTGTATCACTGCATTTTGCATTGTAAATTAGGTAAGTTGTAATATGCTTTTGAAAAGTTAGAAATTTTTTTTGGTTGATTAATAATATTCTACTGAAAAGACTGGATTTTTGCTAGTTTTCTGGAGATAAAAGAGAACCTGTTGCTAGTCTGTTACTGTAGGATTTGGGAGACTGATGTTTGGTTTCATGCTTTATGACAGATTTTCTCTGTATATTTTGACAATCATATTACTTTTGTCTTTGGGTTCCCCATTTGTAAAGTGAGAAGAAATTGATTTTCTGATTTGAGGGTGTTACCAGGATTTAATACATTAGGGACTAAGGAGCTCAGATATCCTTATAGTAGGAACTATACATATACCAAGGAGACAGCATTATGTCTCTTAGCCGTACTTATCCTCTATTTGAATGTATAAAAAATATAAAATGCAAGACAATATTTGTGGCTCTTACAGTAGAACACCTGACTTTAAATCTTCATGTCAAATATGTTTTTATAAAAGTATGTTTTTAAAATTTTAGATTTTAGAAATTGCTGCAAGACACAGCGAACAGGAATATTCAAATGTCGGGGCATTACCTGCTGAGAAAGGTAAGAATGCCTCTTTGTTCACAAAGTTGCCATCCAAATCAAGAAAATGATTTGGGTTGAACTTCCAAGGGGTCGCCCAATGCTGAGAGTCATACACAACGGAGTGCAGATTTGGCAATACAAGCGTGCCCTGCAAGAAGAAGCAGAGATTATATTTTCCATGTATGATTGATTCTTTTTTTTGGACTTTCCTTCTCTCTAGATAATGTGCCATCCTGTGTCTGCAGCCCAGTGTTTGGATTCAACTTGGTCTTCTCCTGTGCACATCCCGGCATGACAAACCCTTGTATCTTCTGTTTGTCATAACGTATTACATGTTTGCCTTTTTGTGTAAGTTATCTTACGTCAGGACTACTGAAGTGCCTTTCATGTCTAAGCTAGAGCGGAGCTTGGATTGTTTTACATACTTGCCAGACTAATCATAACACCTTCCTTTTTGTTTTTTGTACTCTGCACTGGACCTTTCAATTCTATCACATCAATTCTATGCTTAATATATTTGGGACATTTATATCATGCCAACGTGACTGTCAGATCTGTCGCTGTACTGAGCTGCCATCATCTTAAGCGGGGGGGTGGGATGTGTGTGTGTGTCTGTGTGTGTGTGTCTGTGTGTGTGTGTCTGTGTGTGTGTGTCTGTGTGTGTGTGTCTGTGTGTGTGTGTCTGTGTGTGTGTGTCTGTGTGTGTGTGTCTGTGTGTGTGTGTCTGTGTGTGTGTGTCTGTGTGTGTGTGTCTGTGTGTGTGTGTCTGTGTGTGTGTGTCTGTGTGTGTGTGTCTGTGTGTGTGTGTCTGTGTGTGTGTGTCTGTGTGTGTGTGTCTGTGTGTGTGTGTCTGTGTGTGTGTGTCTGTGTGTGTGTGTCTGTGTGTGTGTGTCTGTGTGTGTGTGTCTGTGTGTGTGTGTCTGTGTGTGTGTGTCTGTGTGTGTGTGTCTGTGTGTGTGTGTCTGTGTGTGTGTGTCTGTGTGTGTGTGTCTGTGTGTGTGTGTCTGTGTGTGTGTGTCTGTGTGTGTGTGTCTGTGTGTGTGTGTCTGTGTGTGTGTGTCTGTGTGTGTGTGTCTGTGTGTGTGTGTCTGTGTGTGTGTGTCTGTGTGTGTGTGTCTGTGTGTGTGTGTCTGTGTGTGTGTGTCTGTGTGTGTGTGTCTGTGTGTGTGTGTCTGTGTGTGTGTGTCTGTGTGTGTGTGTCTGTGTGTGTGTGTCTGTGTGTGTGTGTCTGTGTGTGTGTGTCTGTGTGTGTGTGTCTGTGTGTGTGTGTCTGTGTGTGTGTGTCTGTGTGTGTGTGTCTGTGTGTCTTGTCAGGGATGACTATAGATTGCTCCAGGCTGCTCCCTTATGTGTGAAAATTAGCTGGCTTGACAATCATTAAACCCCATTTCTTCATCATTCCTTAAAACACATATTCTGCTGTGACGCCCAGACATCATCCATATTTGGCTAGTGGGAGGAAAGACTTCAGTTTTCCTTATGTGTGTTTGCTACTTGTGCTGTTAGCCTTTTCGCAAGCTTCCTTTTGCATCTGCTCATGTAGACTTAGCCCTGGTTCAGAACACCCAGCTTTGTTTCATGTCTGTGACATGCTACCACATGCTCTCTATGCGAAGTTAGGAATTGTAGAAGCTAATGTCATATAAATACTAAATATTAATAGCTCAGGGCTTTAAGGAACATGGAGGTATACTCTGTACCTTTTCAATGTGAAAACCCAGCAAAGTTGTATTCCTTACACATTGTCGAGGGACCCCAACAGAAGTAATATTGCTGTACCGCAAAGCCTCATGAATCACAGCATTTGTATATGGCAGTTTTTTACGGTCTTCATAACTGATGAGATGGGAGGGTTCCAGAACAGCCTCTATCTCTCTTTGAACCTTTTCTGTGGAGAAATGAAAATATTTTAACATTTTTCCCCTTTTTTCCAGCAGATTTCTGTACGAGTATGGTCCAAGACTGGGGAAAAAAAGAAAATACGTTGCTATGAAATGCGTTGGCATGTGTTTTGACTGTTGTGTTGGTTTCAATTGATCAAGAAAGTGCATATCGCCAAAGCACAAGATGATCTCTCATTTAAGACACATCCCATTTGGTGATGAGGATAATACAGTTTCAAAAAAAGGATTAAAATTCAAAATTGCAGGTGTAATTTCTGTGTTTATAAATACACACCAGCCCAGGTATCTTTTTAAAGCTTTTCCACTTCAAAGGTTAGGAGGAGACTAAGTAGCATATGAAATGTCTTTAACTTGTTATTCTGTCTTTGCCATCCCCTTCTAGTGATATAAAACAGCGGCTACTACTAATTTCTGCTAGCGTTGCTTCTTAGTGAACTGGTGGGGGAAACACATGTTTGTTTCATGTATTAAACTTTCATTTTCTAGATCTCAATTGTTGATGTACCACTGTTCATATTCGTCGTTAAGGATTATTTTGATCTATTGCAAGTGATTGAGCTAATACACTTTAATCACGTTCATTATGATGTAATGTTGAATGCAGTTCTCTCTGATAATGCTTTTGCTCACCTTGTATTTCTGGGTATTGTACCATATAGAGCAGTGCCCAGAGAAGGGTGGTACTTGTTGTCTCTGTCCCTCCCAGCAAAAGATCAACCACAGTCTGAACCATATTGTCTTTATTAAACGTAGAAGTAGGGTCATCTTTGGTCTGTAGGGTACATTCACAAAAAGACTGTGAAGTAGATAATTTCAGACATTTCATCGGTCACATAGAAATTGTCATTGTATGATGAAAACAGTGAGCAGCCCACCAAAACAAAAATCTTCAGTGCTAAACAAATAAAGCATGCGTATAAAAATTCCGTAGCAGTTACTTGAACAGCAAGTATTTGTATTAGGCATTGAGGCCAAGCAGGGGATGGTGTGATAAACAGATACTTACTTTTGTTATTTGAGCTAGGTAGAAGTCAATGAGATCCTGTGGATCACCTGCATTCTGTCTTTCATGAGTCTGGACCTCCTTCATCACTAAATTGTGCATGAAGTCATTGTATGCAAACGCTTTCTGATGAGGTCCTGGGAGATGGTGCATAAGCCATGGGAAAGCATCATACATCTGTGATTTTAAACAAAAAGGAAGAAACATGAGCTCTTTTAAATTGAGAACCCAATTCTGATTTCCTGACAACTCTGTGAAGTCACTGCAACATATGGGCTCCTAATTAGGATGAGAGGCAATAGACACAAGTCAGAGAGAGATTAAGTACTGGGAACAGGTTTCCCAGAGAGTCTGTGTGAAATCCCCATCCTTGGAGACTTCAAGACTTGAGCAGACAAGTCCCTAAACAACCTGATCTAATTAGGCCTGCTTTGAGCATGGAGTTGGATTAGCTGACATGCAGAGGTCCCTTCCAATGTAAACTATTCTACATTTCTAAGAGGGGTCATGAAACCTTTACATTGCCCACTAAGTGAACTGGCATTGAGGAAAAATTGTTTGATATTTGTTAATGAGCTACTAGTAATACGCAGCAGTCTAAATTGTTATGATCAAGTTGTCAATATTCAATAACCACACTTTTTATCCGTAATAGATAGGTTGAAGACTGAAAAGGTATAGAAGCTGACTTGACTTCTCAGTCTTAGAAGGCTTTCTTCCAGGAGAAACCGGCATGTGTATTTGTTGAGCGGAAGAATAATGATTTTCATTTCTTTATATTGTGTATGTTTTGTGAATGGACTAGTAGGCAGAGCCTTTGTTTTATTTATGGCCTGTGATTAGGAATCTGTTGGCCAGTGCAGACTTCTCCATCCCAATCAGCAGACCAAAATGTCAATGTTGTGTAACAGTGGATATCAGGTCACAGGAGAGCAGGAGAATGGTTATATTTTGCTTTTTGGATGCATACCTAATAATGCAACAGGGGCTTCTGAAAATGGGTGAATCAGAGTAATTGAGGGCTGAATCTGGCTCACAAGCAGATTTTCTCAACCTTGATTTTTACTCTGATTTTTTTTTTAAGGCATCTCTGCATGAAAGTATTGGAGAACCAGATAGTGTTATAAATGCCAGTGTGCTAAAATCTGTGCAACATAAATAGCTAGGTTTTCAAGAAAGAAAAAATATTCTTCTTGATGTGATGAAATTGTCACCTGTATCTTACAGGAAGTTCCGAATAACTCAGATGTTGGTGGTAATGTGAAATACATGAGAAGCAAGATATCGTCTCAAAAGAATAAGACTTTGATGGCTTAGTTCTTATTAATTGCATTTCTGTATTCTCAAGACTAAATGAAAATGAAATTTTAGAAGTTGCTTTCATTTTAAGATTTAAGAATCTTATGTACACAGTACTCTGCAAATGATTACTGATTTGAAATACATTATATATGTTGGTGATCTGTGAAAACAGTGATGATCTAGAATTTACATTTTAGGACACGTGATTTACTGACATAAGGAATATAAGGCAGTAATGACACATACAAGGTATGTATAATTTATTACTGCACAATGGCTCGCAGAGTAATGGTATGGAAATGTTTGGGAATAATTGTCACTGACTTTTAATTTGTTTGTTTTGACTTATGAAGTGCAAATGCACTTTAAGGAATAAGAACAAGAAAATGAGATTCTTACCCTGCCCCAGACAGTAGCTTGAAAGTAGATCACAAAATAAACAGCTTTGATAAGCTTGCTGAAAGATTCGTCCTCACTGGAGAAGCGATGACCAAAAACAACAGCACAAATTACATTTGCAATAGCATGGACAATGAAAGTGTGGGGGTCGAAAGGTTTGCCTGTGAATATAGGAGATACCATGAATATTTCTGAATAGACTACAGTGACAAAAATGAGGAAGACTTTTTTTTTTTTTAAATGGTAAAAATAATAGTAGATCAGACTGCTTTTAGATAAACTTCACACAAGTAAACTCTAGTTTAATACAAATTAACTGTATGGATTGTAAGTGCAGGGAATCTTTATTTTCAATCTGCTTTTTACTCTTGTAAAATACAGTGAGTATCGGTTTTGAGAAGACAAATATTAGGTCTCTTTTCCCCTATTTGACTTGTGGGCTGGGTTGTTTGAAAACACAAGCAATTAATTAGAACATATGCCTTCAAATCTGGAAGCAGATATTTTAAGTTTGGCAATTAAAAAACAAAACAAACAACCCCCCCAAAAACAGGAAAAAAAAACATTTTAAAGTTTTAATTTCTTAGTCATGTTGAAATGACTTGTCTCCTTTTGGTTTTCAAGTACAGCTTAAAATTCAACTATATGTTTTTTTTTCCCACAGACTGAAAAGGCAAAACTCGCATAATGGGATGGAAAACAGCTCCCATTAAAATGGGTTAAATCCAGAAAAAATTAAATTAAGTACACATTTCAATGGCCAGGACAACCTTTGAATTGTACTACTATGGAAAATGGTGGATTATGCATCTCTGACTTCAGTCCGATGCTTGTAGTCCTTCTTGGAAAGAGTAAATACAATTATTGAGTTTAAAATTGAGGAAGGATTGCATGGAAGGTGAAGATATGGCCTGTACAGGGACTTAGAGTCAATGGTTTGTTCATCTCTTACATTTTAAAGATCGGTGAATATGTTAACTCTTAGAAGAGAGATGGGCCATTTTGCTGTGTCTAGTGCAAGGACAGTTGGAAGGAGACCTTAGGCAACTTCTCTGTGTTTTCACATCAGTATGGAACACGATGTGGGTGAGGGATTTGGCTGTTCAGAATATTTATATTTAATTGCTTTATTTTGGCATCTTGCTAAAATTCTATTGGTTTCTATTTCATCCAAACCTTAAAAAGAAGTTTTGTTGGACAACTGAATGATACATTCCTTGTGTTGGGGTTCTTTCTCTGCCAAATCCTAAAGGCCTGCTGTCCTAGAACGACTCGCAGCAGGTCACAAATTGTGTATTTTATGGAGAAGAACATAGGGTTTTTCTATACTCCTTGAATGTAAGAATTGTTACCAGCTGTCCCCAAGACTGTGTTGATAATAAACATTTTTTTACTATCCTTATTTCAAAAAACAATTTCATATTGCCTGCTGTGCAGACAAAACATTTTTTGCAAAGAATGCAATTAAGAAGTCAGTAAAAGTCCCACTAATATGAAAAATATCTATATTACTTGTAAAAATGTATTGTCAAACTTTTACTCCCCTAATCTATTATATTTCAGAAAAAGCTCTGTTATTCTTCTGGTGAATTTACCTTTTGTGTTTGCAAAGGTGTCCACAAGGTGACAGGCCTCTGTTTGAATTTGATGCTCCAAATTGTTCTTACCGAGTGCCAGGCTTCTTATAATTGTCATGCCAAAGCGTCTCTGTTGCTTCCAGGTGTGCCCACTTGTCAGAAAAATACCTGAAGAACATGGAAACATTTATTTCATTGCTGGGAAGGGAAATCCTTTCACTGCAGGAGACTTGGATTAGGTTATATTTCACCAACAAAGAAGATACCGTGATTTCAGATACCGACTTTTGGTCTCTAACTTAGTTTATGACTCCCGGCTATATAGCTGCTTCTAAACGTGACCCTGGAAACTGAGTGGTAGTGGGTTTTGGTAAGGATGTTGAGTTTGTGTTTTTCTTCTGTCTCTGGAATGGCAAATGTAGGAGTTTGATGCCAGGTTATTTAATTGGAGAGGTGAGCTGAGGATGCTGTCTGGGTGGCTGTTGTAGGTTTCTTGGGGCACTTTGAGTAAGAATGGCAGTAAGCCTCAGTGATTTGGCACCGACTTATCTGCAAGCACTATATGAAAAAGGCTCATGTCTTCTACATGAAGAGTCTTCTGTTTTAGAAGTGATACAACTGAAGGGCAACTGCTCTAGGCAAATACTCGTTTGAATTTATTGGGAAGAAAAAAAGTCAGTAGTGTGCTTTGTAAGAGGAGTTGTTTTCGTTTTTCCCTTTTCTTAATATGCTAGCTCTGCATGGAACCTTCTTGCTATGTAAGCCCAGTTATGTATTTGTATAGCAGTAACTCATACATGTATGTATATACAGGAAGGTGTCTTTCTTCTTTACATCTTGTTCATATTTCAGTATTGTGTAACATCTTGTACCTTTCTCGCCCATCATATCCCTGTAGAATGGGGTGAGAGGTCTTCCGGAAACTTCCTCTGAGTGGGTGACAATGCCATCTTTTACTGCTTTGTATCCATTCAGTACAACCATAGGTGTCTGTCCCATCCACAATGTGTAGATATTTCCATAGATATTGGTTAACTGAAGAGTTAATAACAGTAAATTAATAAATATAAACCAGGGATTGCATAGACTTAAATACTAATTTTAAGAGTTTTCTGTAGTTGTAACTAAACCTGTTTGCTGACATCATATTGAAATACAAGTTTCAGAAAAATTTGGCCTTCTGTTGTAAAGTGCTTTGGGAACAGAAGATAATCGTACTTTATGGAATAGATACTAAAGACATGTCTCAGAAGACCATCTCTGTAAATTTCACAGAAGGAGAAACAGAGGTCTTCTCTGTCAGCTCAGAATCAAAGAACAAATGAATACAGGCAAAATCGCAGAGCTTTTCTGTTTATTTTATTAGAAAACTGAAGTTACCGTTTTTTCTTGCCTCTAACTTCTGAAGAGAGCAAAGAAATGTTTTTGCATTCTTTCCTATAGCTTCCATAGATTTTTCTTATTTTTCTTTATTGTCTGTCCTCAGATCATGCTTGTATTTTTCCTAAAATAGTTTAAAGCAGGTTCCTTAATTTTTTAAATAGTTTTAATCGGTTTATAAAGGAATAGTGCTGTGAACATAAGAGCAATCAAATTTTCCTGCTTTGTTTTAGTAATAATCTGTTTACTACAGACAATACATCTTTTTGCTGTACAATGTAAGAAAAAAAGGGTCATTTTAGAGTATATGTTTGGTCTTCTAATGGAGATCGGACCACTTGTGGCCTGGAGATGTTCCAGTGACTTTGGTGTCAGGCGAAGGAAGTTCTATTAGAGGTGGTTTACAGGGCTAGATATCAGCACAGAAGTAGAGAATGAAACTGTCAATGGAATATCATGCTATTGACAGTGCTTGTGGTAATGTTATGCATGGATGTTACTGTATCCAAAAGAGAAAGAAAATAACAAGGAGTAAAGCAATTATGGTGTTCATTACTCAAATATTTTTCATAATGCACGGTCCTTGGATTCTTTGAAATTGGCTGATAATCTAGCTTGAGGTTTAAAAAAATTAATTCCAAGTTTAGACTGTTCCTATGCAATGTACAATTTAAGTTAAAATAGATTCAGACTGATTTTCAACTATAGATATAAATAAATACCTTAGTGAGAGTTTCTCGACGAAGTTTGAAGTCCAGCAGCCACAAATTTCCGATGATGGGGAGGGGAACTGGTCCTGGAGGAAGCTGGGTACGCAGCCATTGCAGCTTTAGGAACTGCAAAATGAGGAGACATACTGCTAGAGCTATAAAAAACTCAGCAATCCCCAACATCTTATCAAAATTTTAGCTTCTCACTGGTTGTTGTGGGGTTTTTTTTGTTCGGGGTTTTTTTTTCCCATATAACTTCCTCTGAAAAATTGGACTTGTGTAGATGAGTTTGCTTCTACTGAAGTCAAACTCTTTCTAAAGAATGTATGTCTGCTTTAGCTCTCTCTCTCTCTCTCTGACAATCTAATTTTCCCGAGCTGAAGTCCTTAGAAAACTGAAATATGTGATCCTCACAGTTAGCCAAGCCACACCTACTCTCTTTTATGATCTGTAATTGTGATCTGTCTCTCTTTCCACTTAGAATTTTGTTTCCTTCTTAGTATTGATACTGGGCCTAAATGCTAATTATTGAGCAGTTATCCAAGGATATCAAGTCTTGCATCGCAGTAATACCTCATGCAATTTCCTGTAGTTAAACATTAAAATACCAAGGATGCATTACTTATTACCTTTCTGAAACACTACAATTATTATGTGGTTTCTTTTATAGAAGAAGAAACATCTACACAATACCTGTCTGTTAGGATATGGTCTCTGAGATGAAAAAGAATTTAGTTCATGCAGCATAAAGCTAAACTAATGTCTTTTTTTTTTAAAAAAAAAAAGGTGTAATTTAAGAATTAGGAAAATATCTACTTTCACCTTTTATCATATTCCAGGTTAAGTTATGATATTATGCAGAACACAATTGAGAGATTATTGTTCTGTCCAGTGGATTGTATGGTGTTTTCTAAATTTTATTGATTTTATTTTATTTTTTTATGATAAGGATTAAAATTTCCTGGAGTAAATTTTGGAGGTAAAAAAAATCCACAGATTCTATTTAATCTGTGAAAAAGAACAAATAAACTGAAGAAAGAGGCAAAACTTTCAATCTTTATTGATTTGTGGACCCAATAAGCTTTCCAGGAGAGGTTTGTACCAATGTGTAGCAAATTTTAACTTAAGAGGCCTGCTTTTCTTATGTATTATTCACTGACTTTGATGTCATCTACGGCCTACAGGCTACTTTGAAAGTTTTGGGAATTTCCACTACTGGAAAGCAAACAGAAATGGCATAATTCTGGTGTTTTGGGACAAGGTGATGGATTTAGGTAATCTCTTCAGCCTCCTTTAAGATTTTTTTTTTTTTTTTTAATTATTCATTTGGGACAGGATTTCAGACTTCATCTCCCATTTTATCTACTCCTGTTGGAATGGCAAAATCTGTTTTCTCTTAAAGCTGCTTCTACTCCTTGCTTTTTCAGCCCCTAAGCAATGTAGAAATTGGAGAAATATTTAGAAGTGCCAAAGCAAGTTGCAGTAGTGAACCTGGAGATGAGATGACTTAGGGTGCCTCTGTCTGCTAAGTGAATTGTCAGGAACCATCTCCTTCGGAATTTAGGAGGCAAAGGAAAGAAGATGTATGAGACTCAGACATATGTGGGACTTCCCAGGTTGAGTCATTTTAGCATGTATGGTGCTTCAAACTTTGGTCCTAAATACCATCTTTTAGCTGAACATAAGCCTTAGCAACAGTAGTTTACATCCCTTATACTGTGACTGTAAAACAGATTTCTTTCTCTCTTGATTATTTGGTGCCCTATGGGTCTCTGTATGAAGTCTTACTTTGTACAGGTTTTTTTTTTTTGTTAGCTGATATATTACATTGGATTTTTCAACACTTTGATCAGGAACTCAGCTAATGTTATGATATATCTCAACACTTCAGTTAAGAACTCAGCTAATGTTATGATATATCTTCAGGTAAGTATAGGAGATTAAAGGAATCCATACAATTGTACAAGTTGCCTGTTTTAAAATTTTATCATAATTTCTCTGAGCAGGCTTGCTGAATTTTCCAGTCTGCAGTTTCCAGCTCAAAACTTTTCAGCAAAATCAAGGTTATTGATTGGACTCAATGTACATTATAATCATGAAATACAAAGGTTTAATGCTATCCATGGGCTTCTTAAGAACTCCGTTGAATTCCCTTAAACTTCAAGCAACTATCTGAGAGTTACAGGTAAGGACACTCATTTCAGTTAGTTTTCTAATGAGTTTGGTGTTGTTTTTTTTTTTTGTGGGCTAATAAAAGAAAATGTGTTAAATACAGTCTTGCATCGTTCAGTCTTGAAAAACATGTAGATCAGCATTTGTCTTTTTTTTGCTTTAGTGGATTTTAATAATTTCAGATTCACACATGAAATACAGGGCAGTTTCAGGGTGCTGCAGAGCAGCAGTGACATTGCAGCATTTACTTTTCTGAGCAGCCACCACTTGACTTCTCTGTGCAGCATCATGTAGCTCTTCTGCTTTAGTGGGCTGCACGTGCAGATACTTCCCAGAAAGTGTGGAAGCAGAAGCCATCAGAGGGCAAGGAGCGTGCCTCTGTGCCTTTTTTATCTGTTTGTTTATTTTTTGGGGGCAGAGAAGTGGAAACAGAAAAGGTTAAGGAGCATCATTTTCAGCAGCATGGTTCTATGAATCTTACACTTGAAGAGTTAAATAGAAAAAAACTGAGAGAAGCAATTTGAAATTAAATACCTTTTATGGTTTTATCAGCCAATTCTGACAGTTCCAGGATAATTCTTATGTTTCCCAAAAATTGCAGTGTTACTGAGTTATGCTATTAAGCAGTCATTTATCCACCCAATTTTTCAGGTTTTGATGCTATTTGAGACTTTAAAATGAGTTACTTGATGAAATTATCTAACTAACTTGACTTGCTGCTTGCGTGCATCAGAACTTCATTTCCTGTATGTTTTTTCCCCCCTTTTCGTCCAGCCAGTCCCATCTAGTTAAAAGGAAGCAAGCACTATTCTATTTTTATTGTTTGTGCACAGAATCATTTGCCAAGTTTGCAAGTTTCACAACAGTGAAAGACCACTGAAAGCTGTTGATGCATGATGCCATCAATGAGGGTATGATTTATACTCTTCAAAATTACCAGAATTAAGATGAGTTGAGCCTTGAAATTACCTATTAATAATGGTGATTATGATGAAACTTAAAAAAGAAAAGAAAAAGAAAAAGAGTCTAGTGTGAAATATTCAAATTCTAGTGAGCTTCTATATTGACAGATTTAAAACCACAAAATACTTTCCTTGTCCCTCCAGTCCACTGTTTTTTGTTTTGGTTTGGTTTTTTTAAAATTTATTTTATTAAACCTTTTTCTTTTTTTAAATCTGAGTGGTCAGGCTTGGTGAGTATGTGATTGATTATTAATTTATGCTCTGTAACCCTGTTGTTTTCTAGCTTAATGTTTTGTGGAACCCATAGGTGGCTGTGCCCTAGAGCAATCAGAAACTGGAAGCATTATTATAAAAATAAATACGCTAGGACACTTCTGTATGGCGATTGCTGGTGCTCACCATACTGGATGAGCAGCAGCTTTGCTTTGAGGTCCCTAAGGGGTTGCTTCTCGAAGCACTGGCAGTTCATAAAGACTGAGTCTGTACAGCATTGTGGCATGACGTGGTGGTGTTGGAAGTCTCCATTTTCTTGCCCTTGCAGCCCCTTTGATCAGCATTGTAGTAAGTGTTGCCGTCTCGCTTCAGCCATGGAGGAGCTCAGTGACAGATCTAACACTACATCTTTTCTGTATAGGTCTGGCATTGTCCTCCATTTGCATTAAATTATTCAGTCATAAATCTGCGTTCTCATTACCACTATTAGTTAATTTGACATAAAGTTTTCTCAAACATATGGGGCTACTCCGTTACTAGCAAGGTCCCCTCTCTTTGCTGCATCTTTGCATAGCAGTGTTGCAGTGTATCCCATGTGAGTGGTCTTGCTACTTTGGCAGTGACCCTATCCTTCTGCCTGTGGTCTGCTCTCCTAGACCTTTCTGCAGGGTAAATCTGGGTCCTACTCAGTAAGTCTGGGCCCAACAAGAGGTTTAGTCTGAGCCTGGCCTTTTGGACACTGTGGGCAGCGTGTTTTCCTACTGCTAGGTGAGAGCTGTGGGCATGCTGAAGCACGGTGAAGAAAAATTATTTCAGAAGAGCTTAGGCTGAAGCTTACAAGGAAGGGAAAAGCAAGGAAGCTATTTTAGAAGAACTCAATATTCCTTATTTTAATATTTTCAGTATATGTGAGCAGTAGCTCTTCATAAATCTTGCTCGCTCTCCTCTGACACAAATACTATTGCAAGAGCTCACCAGTCAAGATGACAGATGTTAAGTTGGGTTGTTTTGAACATATGAGGAAATCTGCTTTTGTAATGAAGGTTTCAGGCCATAGGAGTGGGAAGTAAATGCAACTGCAGAGGACAGGGAAAGAACAGCATCTTCAGAAAGGTGTGAGGCAAACAAATGATGAATGTGGCGTGATGGCGGTGGAAAGGTTTCCTCATACGCCTCTGCCCAGGGTGTGTGTCACCTGCTATGCCATAAATACTAGGGCTTGGTTTTTTTTCTGTTGCAGAGACAGGCTTAGTGTGTATTAGAAAACATTGACTGGTTCCATGCTGTGCATGTATTTCTTGGCATGGTAGTGTGTGCTTGCTGCCTGACCTGATGTCAAGCTAAGCAGAGCAGACAATTGCTAAGCAGGTTTGTTTTTTTTTTTTCTTCAGTGGAGACACTAATTTGGATTTCTCAACTTAGCTGTTCCTTCTTCCCCTGCACCCCCAGGTCTTTGAAGAGCTTCATAACAGGAGCTGTTAATTGTTCAGTGGCATCAGAATTTCTCTGCGGGAAGAGAATTACACAGACACAGTATGTCCAGGCAAGCATTGAGAGAGGGAGAGTGTTGCTTAGGCAGAGAACTAGAATGAACATAAGACTGGGAAATGTGAGCAAAGAAGGTTCCCATTCTATGTTTCTCTTCAGTTCAGGAAAAGAGAACTTTACTTGTAAGCATTATAAATAAACAAGATAGGTTTTTGCCTCCTACTGTCATCTGTGTTGTTGGGACCTGAAGACTGATGAGCTGTTTAGGTTGCATAGCTGAAGTACTGGAATGGGACTTGGGAACTTCAAATTCTGTCCCTAGATCTGTTCATAGCTTGTCTGTGACTTTCAGGAACTTGGTTTATCTCTCTGGGCCTAATCAACCC